ATTATAATCTTTATTCAAACAACAACTAAAAGTGTGTAATAATAAAGAGAGAAGTGGGGCTTTAGCTGCTTCTCCTCCTCTGGTGTGAACCTGTGATGTGTCGGTGACGCGCCGTGACTTCACCGGGGGCTGGAGGAGCAGGACGCCGCCGCTCCGCGCTGCTTCACCGACTCCTCTCTTCTCTCAGCGGGCGTCAGGCAGCACAAAGCCGGAGGGATGGAGCCAGCGGGCGCGTACGGCGCCGGGAAGGCCGGGAGCGTCAGCTTCGATCCGGTCGCCTTCTTCACGCATCCCCGCACCATCCTCAGACTGATGTCGTGGGTAAGAATCTGCAATGTGTGGGTCTCCATCAGTGGACGGGCCTGCAGCCCCCCTCTGTCTCCGTCTGTGTCTGTGCTGCTGGTGTGTCTTTATGCTCTCAGGTCTGAATGATAAATCAGTGTTTTTACATCAGCCTCGGTGTGTCTGAGTTACAGCTCTGCCATCCGGCTGCTCGATGCGGTGATCAGGGATGATTTCAGCTTGTGGCACCTTCATTTGTGTGGAGCGTCTTTGTGTCTGGATGGAGCCTCGGTGATGTGGACGCTCTGGGTCTAGAATGTAACACCTCAGTGTTTCTGTGCAGCTGTGAGTCACCACACAGCGTTTAATGTGCACTGAAGGAACAAGCTGCACTTTAACCGAGCAGAGACACAATCTTCAGCACACCAGGCGTCACTGTGGGTGTTTGTGAGGCTCTGATCGTTCAGTTCAACAGGATTCATCAGAGCAAATTACCAGAAAATGCACATCCTAATGAGACATTAAACACAACTCTAGAAACCAAATGACATGTATACATATCATGTGACAGCTAGGCCTTAACATCAGTCACTATAGAACTACTGATTACCTTCATTAATGACTGATCATTTGGTCAATAAAATGGGAAAATTAATACCAATCAGATGCAAAGATGATGTTTATAGATTGTTTGTGTTGCCATCAGAACCCAAAGATTGCCAATTTATTATCAGATAAGACAAAGAAATACCACCAATACTCAAAAACTGAAAGGCAGTAACAACATACTTGTACAGCTGAACCCATCACTGCAGCGCTATAATTACATCTAAAGGTGTTTCGTTGGCAGCAAACGTGCTCCTACCTGTGAGGAGGTATAGAAACACTCCTGCTGTTATTTCCTGACATTTGATTTCTGCTCATTTACGATCACATTAAAGAGCGAGAACCAGTAACTCACCAATAAGAAACTGGGACCAGTAAAGACGGATGTTTTTTATATATTACCTCCAAATGAATGCATATTTAGCAGAGATGGTGATTCATTCTCTGTCTAATGGAGCCTTAAGGCAGCTTCTGCATTTTTACCTAAAATCTTGTTTTATGGTCACAGAGCCCTTAAATGATCTTGAATTTTATCACATTAATTCTGTCCTAAACTTTAGGTCAAGGAGGTCTAAGTTAAGGCCGGGTTGAGAACTCAGCATCAGTGAAGCCTCTCAGAAACAATGTCCTCATCTGAAAAACTCAAGAGAGCAGTTTTCTACCTGCTGTGTTCTACCTTCTACAGACTGTTTCTAATCTGTCTGACTGTGAAGTCCACACTAACCACAAAACTGGTTTTTAGAACGACACCCTGCCCTGCGTATATCAAATTATCACCCTGAAACTTTCTGCACAGCTCAATACCATAAAGAGCAAGTGAGTAGATGTTTTGTAATGTGAGTCAAAATGAATCTAGTTTCCACTTTATCAAATCGGATTACAGCTTAACTGAGTCTGCGTATGAGGCAAACTCTGCCATCTGCATAGGGAGATATGTCTCATGAGGGGTTAGTGAGAAGGGGAAAAAAACATGTTTTATAATTTGGGTGAACTAAGCCTCTGAAGTATTACATAATTATGGAAGAGAAGTGTATCTTTGTTGTCTTTGCATCCTCTCTGACCTCTAATGCACACGCTTGATCATCAGTGTTTGTTGGTGCTGGTGGAGGAATGAGAGGCACATCAGTGTGACTTGCTTCTCTCCTGCCTGTCACATAACCGACGTGCCCACGTGTCTCCTGCAGGTTTTCTCCATGGTGGTGTTCAGCTGCATCGTGAACGAGGGCTACATCAACATCGGCAGCGAGCGTTTGCTGTGTGTCTTCAACAACAACGCCGACGCCTGTAACTACGGCGTTACCGTGGGTGTGGCCTGTTTCCTCGGCAGCATCTTTTTCCTGATCCTGGACATTTACTTTCCCACCATGAGCAGCGTCAAGGACAGGAGACGTGCCGTCCTGCTGGACCTCGTCTTCTCTGGTACACAAACACACACCACAAATACAAATACAGCAACACATGGAGAACAGTTTTCAAAAAGGTCAACACAAGAATATTAAAAGCAAATGGGAAAGTTATTAGCTACAGTACTGAAAAAACATAATGCTGGATTATATTCCTAACTCAGAAAGATAAAGCAAAATCCGTTTAAATAAAAGAAATGGAAATAAAATTACAAAAAGGATAGTTTAAAAATTTGGTAAATGGGCATTTACTTTTTTTTTTTTTAACATGAGTTTGATGAGAAAATCAATACAAAGTTACAGCCAGCTATTCATTAGCGTAGCTTAGCATTAAGACTGGAAACAGAGGGAACAGCTAGCCTGAATCTGTCTCACCGACCAGCATCGTCTAAGTCACAAACCAACACATCAAGGTTCTAGGTGTTGTTATATGAAGGACTTTTTCTTGAGTGGATGCAGTAACTTCCAGGAGTCTCTGCAGCCATCAGGAGGTCAAAGTTTTTACTTATAGTTGTGATATCTCGGCTCAGCCAATTAGCACAAAATGTTTCGTCACACATTCTCAGTCCCCAGAGGAGACAGTGTAGTGACTTGAAGCACCAACATGAGGCACACATTTGTGGTTTTGAATAAAACAAGTACTTGTTGCTTTGTAATTTGGCAGATTTATGTCCCTGAAAGGACAAATTGTTGTAACTTTGATGATTTTTTAATATCACCATTAACAGTACAAAATTTCCGTCCGTCCAACTCTTTGGTTTGCAGCCAACCAAAACTAATGACTTCCCATCGGCTTTAACTACACTTTATGTTTCTTGTTAATTAGCAAATATAATGCGCTACGTACACACTAGACTCAGACGGTATATTTTATGACAGCTATTCATGCAGCATGCTAAGTATGTTAGCATGCTAAATTTAGCTTAAAGTAATGCTAACAGCTTCATGGGGTCAAAGGGGCGTTTCTGGGCACAAGAGGCCAAGCTGTTGCCCAACACTGGGAGCTTGTTGGACGTGCAACTAGGCAACAAAGGAAAGATAGATGCCACACAACCGTACAACTGCACAAACACTGGCACCAAGGCTTAGTTTGCTCTGGGATTTCAAATGGGCCAACATGGTGGCACATTTGAAATCTTTCTCTAAACATGTCTGATATTACAAAATAGTTCACCAAAATGTGTTTCTGAAAAGGCGAGAAATAAGCCACACAGTTGTTGAGCCGGCTTCATTTTTTACACTAATAATGCTTAGTTTTAAAGTATTTCAGGAGTTTCCAGAGGCAGCAGCTTGTCCTGGATGTCCCTGATTTGCATAAAGTAGCCTAGATCTCATCTTTATGCAAATAAGTAACAGCCACCACCATCAAGCCCTGTCTGTGGAAACGCACTGCGGTCCTACCGAAACACATTGTGTGGCTGCTTACATAGACAGTGAATGGGAGGTGTGGCAATGATGGATGCTGTAGACATGCACCATCACTGCTAAAATGGCACCTAATGATTGAATGTCATAACGATTCAAGGACAAACACAAGTAAAATGAGTTTGTTCTCAGTTTTCAGTCACGCATTCTCATCCCATCACAAAATCAACAACGAGAATCTAAAGTTGATGTCACCTCCTGGTGCGACATGTTGGGCCGATAACACAACCATGCTCTCTTATCTTTGGCCACTATAGCAGTAGTAAAGTCCCGACTCTTTGTGTTGTTTGGCTAAAAAGTTGGTTAAACTGAATTGAATGCCAAGCAACAATATTTGGACAAATTAATCATGGTAGAGCCACATTACTTGGCAGCTTAAGACTGGACTTTAGACACTAAGGCAGTCCAGAAACAAGACACTTGACAACATTAAGGTTTGTGCATGGAGGTGCTGCGAGGTGGTCGTAATCCAGTCTTCAGCTGCCAAGTCACATGGATTTATGTTGTTTATCGGGCTTAGTTTATCCAAATGCTGTTGCTTGGCATTACAACTTAGTTTCTCCTGACATGTTGTCTTTTTTTCAGATGTAACCAACCAATGAAATGAAAAAGTTCTAAAAGTCCTGTTCCCCTCCTCCAGGTCTCGCCAGCTTCCTGTGGTTCGTTGGCTTCTGTTTTCTGGCCAATCAGTGGCAGTTGACCTCTCCAGATGAGCTGCCATTGGCTCAGGGCTCCGACGCCGCCAGAGCCACCATCGCCTTCTGCTTTTTCTCCATCCTCACCTGGGTCTGTATGCTCACGTCTGTTTATTCACACTGTTTCCTGTCTTTTCTCCCCCATCTGTGAGTCTGTGATCATCATCATCATCATCATCGTCATCAGCATGCTGTGTGTTCTCAGGGTTATCAGTGTCTGCTGGCCACGAACACGTTTAAGAGCATTTCCTTCGTGGAGGTCAAACAGAAGCTGCTGCCCAGGACTCCTCCCACTCTCGCTCTAGTCTAACACTCACTGTCTCAGTTTGTACAGCTGCTGCTGGTTACAAATGTGTTTAACCATATGTGTGTATGTGTGTGTGTGTGTGACTGAAAAAGCATCTCTTCCTGGTTAAAGTGTAGAACTGCAATTCCAGAAAAAAACCATTTCCAGTCAGACAGTGAACTGATTTATTATCCACCGACGAGTCAATGAAGACTGTAAAAACCATCTTACCACCAAACTTATAGCAGCCATTCATCTCACTGTCAGAGGATGTGGGGACATTAAGCTGTAATTGTGTCAAGGATGTACTGTGTGTTATAAAGGATCCTTTTTGCTTTTTCAGTCTGCCAAGTCTTTTTTTTTTTTTTTTTTCCAATAGTCCAGCGGAGAGTAATTCTATTGTTCTTCTGTGGAGGATTTAGAGCGTGAGACAAAGGATGAAATCAAAGACTTCTTCTGGCTTTACTCTCCGAAGCCATTTACCACCGAAACATGATTGAGGAACCTATTGTGTTTATTAGTTATTATAGTGCCTCGTCTCTGAAAAATAGTTTTTTATTATATTGAGTTGCTCTGAAAGGAGTTTTCTAAACTGAGAAAAACACCCGAGTGATGAGATGACAAGTCTTTCCAGAAAGCCGGTGTTTGAAATAAATAAGAGCTCAGACTGAGACACAGAAAAACTGACTGTGTTGGTGGAGACTGATGTTTCATCTGCCACTGAGACGACTGAGAGAACACAGTGCAGAAAGTGAAGTTAGAGTCACAGATCTGTGAGTTTAAAGCCTTATCAGATGCACCGCGGTTTATAATATTACAAAGACGGATTTCACAGCTCTGGATAGGTCTCACAGCGGCGACAATTTTACTTTTTCTTTGAACAGTCGCTTATTTGCCCAAAGCGGCACCTTGCTCGATGTCGCTGCGTTGTGTGAAATTGATTAACCCTTCCTACCCAGGCGGTACCAGTTATTAAAATGAAACCCAACGACATTTTTATAAGGGGGTTCCGAGTGTGGCACACGGTGAGTGACAGGCTGCCTAATAGCGCTATAATTAAAATGGATGTAGCATGTGTTGTGCTTCATTTCTGTGGGACCAGATTTAATAGGGAGGGAGTTGAGAATTGTTAAGGCTGGCTGAGCAGCATCAGTAGATTATTGTTAAAAGGATTTTATTCACTCTCTGATGTAGAGTTTGGGCAGAAGTGAAAATGTTTATTTTTGCTGGAATTCTTTGGATTTCACTCCGGCCTGATGAGGGGGACCTAGAGGATTACTGGATGTCACAGTTCTGCCAAATCTCTCTTATCTACAGAGCTGTTCAGTTTGGCCACACAGTTGTTGAACTGTTATTGACTGAATTTTGGATTTTTTGTGGGGGTGGAAATTGGAAAAAAAAAAAAAAGCCCATTTTGGTCAAACGAAAGAGCTGCTGCGTGTCTCTGTTTCTTCATTTTGAGAGCTTAAACCCAAAGTTTGGACATCGTGACATCTGCTGCTGTCAGTTTAAGTCTCCCAGAAGTTCTAAACCCAGATTCTGCACTCCTTCTTGCTACTTCTAACTCCACTTTTAACCATATTTGCAGGTTTCTCTAATCAGTGTGTGATTAACAGCCTCTGCTGATGTGTGTGTGTGTGTTACTAACAGGCCGTGCTGACGCTGAGCGCGCTGCGACGCTTCTTAACTGGCAGCAACGCAAACTTGTTCACCTGGCAGCACCTGGAGCCCGCCCCAAGCAACGCTCGAGCCACGCCGTACCCCATCGCCAACGGTGCCACCATAGTGACCACCAACCCCTACCAAGCCCCGCCCTTCACTGAAACTCTGGACCCCCAGAAACTGACACAGCAAAGACCCATGGCCCCGGCCTTCTAGAGACACAGACAGAAAAGAAAGAGGAGATGTGAGTCGAGCGACACTGCACACAACGCAGGCACGGACACCTTCCTGCCTCACTGTTTGGTGGTTTTTCCATCCTCTCCTGGGATTGGCGGGATTTTGGGGGTCATGTGATGTATGATCTATTTTCACCATGGCAACTGCTGGCTCAGCTTAGTTAGTTGTAACTCTCTGTGTCAAGAATACTGTCTTCTGTTCATGCACTCACACAGATTTCAGCGCACGCAAACACAGCTGTACGCACTCACACCTGGAAACAGACACACACCTGGGGACACATGTACATACACCTGGACGTACGCACACCTCGACTGCATGTTCATATGGTGAGGTGCAGATTAACATAGATGTAGATCAGTGATGATGCTCCATCTGCCTTATGAAGGGATACGAGATCTTTAGTGGAGGAAATATGGAGGACGGTGAAGCTGTGTAGCTCTGTTTGTCTGTTTCTACTTGCCCTCAGTCAGTCTGACCAATCACAAGCTGCCCTGCAGACATTTGGCCTCCTATTGGCTGAAGTTCAGACAGACAGTCAGCGTGACCAATAGGTTTGAGAGCAAACAAGCGAGGGGGGCAGAACTTGCAGAAAATGCTACATTTTCTTGGCAGGGAATTAAAGGCAGGACCGCTTAATGCATTCTGGACGCTATAGTGTTTCAGTGTGAAATATTCATGTGATTAAATATTTTATTGTGATATGCTAAAGTGGTATAGTTAAAAAAAATTAAATAAAATCAATCCACCACCACTATCAGAGCTGTGAGTCTGCGTTTGTTCACTTTGCCTTTAAATAATTTCTTATTTGCTTCCTGCCATGTCAGAAACACTTTAATATAATTACTTACTGCAACCGAGATCCCAGGATGTGTTCGGCATATTAATCAACAGCTGCTGGAAACCGTATTTTGATAAAGAAGTGCTGGATTCATTAGCAGCAGCAGGCGGCTGCTGAACGTTAGCTTTATTTTTAGATTAAAAGGCACATGCTGAAGGACTGAAACCCCTCCTAGTGTGGTTTATCTTCTCATGATATAGGGGTAAAGGACAAAGTTAAACATGAGGTGATGGAGTCAAATGAAAGTCAGACAGAAAGTGGTTTTATTCCAGCACTGTCCAATCATGTATCGCTCACTGGGTATCATTCCCTGCTCCCCAGGAATCCGCAGGAACGTTGCACAACGCTATAAACATTTGCATCATCCAGAGTCATCATCATCATAGTTATAATCTTGTAACACTGGCATCCTCGTCATCCATCCTCAGCATCACCAGCAGATTAATTAACATTCATAAATGTAGAAATTTACCTTTGTAGTTCTCATATCATCTCTGCTGTGTTAATAAAATATAGCCTTTTCTACTAAGTTTCACTCACTGTTTAATCACCTGAATAAGCCCTTCTGTACATCTGCTTCGGTCTGAAGTTTTCACCCCGCACCCATACAGTATACTCTCCTCCAGCGTCGGGAGAAGAGGGGGCCGGCTCCAGGTTCAGACAGCAGGGGGCGCCCTCGCTCTGCAGAGCTCCGATCACATGCTTCACACCGAGCTGTGTCTGAACTACCTCTACCCTGAGAATACTAAGACAGAGAGAAGGAAGGTGGAGGGGAGTGACAAAACTAAGCCGACTGAACATTCAAATGGGTGGGATCAGGAAAAAGCGAGGTAGAAACTACTAAAGCCTAGGTCACACTACATGATTTCAACTTAAAGGTTCAAGGAGCAAATTGATTTTTTCAGGCTGTCAGGGCTGAAGTTGTTTCAAGCGTGGGAGGCTCCCCTCCGAAAATCAACAAGATATCAAAGTTTCTCAGGCTTAAATCCGTGAACAATCAAGCAACACCCAGTGGCAGTTGACTGTAGGTAAGAAAAAAATGAATCATATTTAAAAACAAAAACTCCACTTTTAACAAGCTGCTGTACTTTTTTTTTTTTTTTAAATTTATGACATTTTTTTGAGGAATAGATCTTTTATAAAACGGCATTGTGCCTGCACCATTTATATCAGTGTGCAATTACAAATTAGGTCTTTTTCTTATAAAATTGTTCATCATCATTATGTTTTGTAAGTTTCTCGCTTAAAAATTTCATTTCTTTTGTAAACATAAACTGTAATTTCTGCACCACTGAGAGAAAAAATTATGATTCTGGCAAATTGTCACCGACTGAGATGTTCGTAGTGCTGAAAGAACCAGCTGATAAATTGGTTAGTTTACAGAAAATGTATCAGCAGCAACGACTTGAACAAGAGGCTGATTGAGTTTCAAGCAAAAACACAAAAATATTTCAAATTTAAGCCTTCAAATCTGAATATTTGATTATTTTCTTCATCTAATGTTATGGTGAAATGAATATCTGTTGTCTGGACTTTAATGGGACAAGAAAAGCTCTTAGAAGATGTCGCCTTGGTCCCTTGATGCTTTATAGACTGCAAGAATAATTGATTGATCAGGAAAATAATCAGCACATTAATTGCTAATGTAAAAAGCTCACTGTGTGGTTTCTTTGTCTACATATCTTTGTGTACGTCAGCTGTACTGCACTTTCAGAGTCGTTTTGTCTTGTATTCTGACCTAGGCTTGAGGTGCGAGGAAAAGGATGAGTGAGGGCCGAAGGAGGAGAGCAAGCAAGGGGAAGGTTAGTGTTTGAGTAAATATAGCTGGGAAGTGGCTACTATGCCTGAACTAAAGCTAGGACTATGATAGAAGAAAAGGAAACTTCTTCTTGTGTGCATCGTGTGCAAACAGCACAAAAGGGTCAAAGTCTTTGAACACATACACACTCATACACACAGTCTGAGTTCTGCTCACACACCCTGTGAAAATCTTGTGAGTGGACGAGGCGAGGGGCGGCTCAGGAAACTGTCCTCCGTCCTGCTTTGGATTGCTGCTTCCGTCCTTCTCGCGTGCTTCAGCAGCACATTTGGCTGCTCTGCTCCAGAGAGTAAACCAAACCTGTCACTGGGTTTGTTTAGTCGTCCACAGAACTTCCCTCCGGCTGATTAGGAGAGAGGGTTGTGGCGTCAAACGACAGAGTCCGCCTCCTCAGCTCGACGCTGCTGTCCACTAGCTGGGTTGACGTAGTAACTGGCTCCTCTCCCGGCGGCGGGCTCATCCGCTGCTTCCTGTTCCTGCCAGAAACTGGGGACACTGATTGGCTGAGGCGGCTCCTGTGCTCCCCGGGACTCGGGGTAAGGTGTCTGCTTTTGTGTGAGCAGCTGGGAGGAGGTTGTGTGTGTGAGTGAACAGAACTGTTAATGCGACTGACTTCCTCGTCAGCATCATCTAACTGGGCGACAGGCTCTGAGCTGCTGCCGGGGCCACAGAGTGGCACAGACAGAGTAGATTCACCGCTGGGCACCTTCAAACTGGACAGGCTCTGTGGGCTGACAGGCCTCTTCTTGGCGTCTGGTTCTGGCTGTGAGACGCAGATGGCCTGCTCTGGTACATGTTCCTGTGCAGTGGTTTCACTGTGGCTCCGGCTGTGGCTCCGGCTCAAGATCACCCTCTGGGGGTGTGTATATTTCAGTGTGTGTACACTGGACGAGCGCTGGCGTGTCGGCGTGGAGGAGGCAGCGGGCACGGTGAGGCGAGGCTCTGCCAGATCGTCAGCTGAACCGCTCTGATCCAGAGAGTCACAGCGCACAGCCTCCTACAGACACAACACAAGCACAAACAGTCTTAATTATGTGTTCAATTGTGCAAGAAAAATATGTTTAGAAAACATAATCTGTGTTATAAATTGGCAATAACAACAATAATAGAAGACCAGAATTTGAACATGCAGTCTATAAATAAACAGGTGTGTGCTGCAAATCACCCTCAAATACACTGAACAGTAACAACAGTGTTAAATCCTTTTTGGTCATTATAAACTAAAAAAAGCAATCACATCTTGTGCAGAAGTACAATTTCGCAAGAGAATATTATCAAGTCTTCCATTTTTTGATTACTTTTATCACAGCTTCTGTCCATACTGGAATGACAGCACTGTAAAACACAGGAGACAAAAACCACAGTCCGTGTTTCCAACTAAAATACATTTTCAAGTTCATCCTAAATTAATATGAGGCTTGAGCAGTCTGAGAGGGTATTGCCAGGAAATATTTCTCCAGGGAAACACACAGACAGAATTTAATTTGAAAAAAAAAAAAAAAACTTTAATTTTTAAAGATACCTGATTTGGTTACCTGCTAAAGCCTCATAGTCACTTTAGCTCAACACTGGAAAGTATTTTCACACAGAACAAGTCTGAAGTGTGCATGTTTCATGTTTGCAGAGTCACATTAGAATTTTAAAACTTTGCCACCAGGATGTAGAACAAATAAGACATCCTTCAGTGCACATATTGACATATTAAGATGGACCTGAAAAATGTGAACCCCCCATCCTTCAATATCGAACAATGAAAAGGGCAAAAAGCCATCACATTGTCTTTCTGTCACAGCGTGAAATTTTGCAAACTGTGCTGTTGTTGTTGTTTTTTTTAATGTATTTGTGCTGCTATTCCAGGCATTGGTTGAGTCTGATTAATTTTCATACACTATGAAAATCAATAACCGCACTCTTGAAACTCGCCTGTGTTGTGTAATCCATCACAGACAACATACAGTCTGCTTTAATTACTTTCTTAGCTTCAGTCAAGTGAAATTAGATTATCATATTGTTAAGACTGTGTAATTGCATATTAATTTGAAAAGTTTGCTGCGCAACTATGATGTAATTTTGACAGGAGAGAAGAGATGAGCTGATAATAACACACCTGTCTCCGTAACTGTCGGCTTGCGGTGCGGAAAGATGCCGGTCTTTTCATGACTGAAGAATCTGGAACATAGGAGGGACTCAGCTTGTTTCTGTCTAAACTGTCTTCGGGACTGAGCCAGTGAGATGGACGTTTGCTGGCACTGTGTGTGGGACTCAGTCTGAGGGACGGATGTCTGTCTATGCTGTGGCTGGACATGAGCTTCGGTTTGTCCGCGCTGTGATCTGGATTCAGCCTGTATCCGTCCATACTGCGAGTGGAGCTCAGTCTGTGTCTGTGGATTCGATGGGCTGGGCTGAGCTTGTATCCGTCTATACTGTGAGCTGAGTTCAGTCTGTGTCTGTTTGTTCTGTGAGCTGGACTAAACCTGTATCCTTCTATGCTGTTAGCTGGACTGAGTCTGTGTAGGGAGTGTCTGTCGATGCTCTGAGAGGTGCTGAGGCAGATCATTGGCCTTGAGCTGCGTCCAGACCCCAGTGAAGCGTGGCTGATGGTGGGCAGAGCTCCTGGAACCTGCAGCAGAGAACCGCCTCCGCTGGAGCCCAGAGATGACATGGAGCCTGCAGGAAATAATGTGGCAAAGATCAAACAGAGAAAAAAGAGGATTAAGGTACAGTATTTCTAAAGAGGGGAGTGTTACTGAAAACACAGAGCGTCTAGACTGTTAATAATACCCTACAGATATCATTCAAGCGAAGCCGGCTTCCTATGCCTCACATCAGCCCCTTTATTTTCACAAACTTCCCTCTTTATGACATCAATGTTTTCTAAAGTTCTACTTTCATAGTCAACACAGTTCAAACAAGGAATCTTAACAAATCGATCATAACTTAATTATTTCCCAACTAATCCACGGTTTCACTCTTAATTAACCTTCATCTGATTAGCGGAGACCAATTTTCTATAAGTTATACGGATCCTGTTGCAGGGAACTCTTTTGTCTTTCAGTTAAAATCACAATCCTCTGACAGGACAGATCTACATTCAGTGTTTTTAGCTCCTCTGTAGGGCCAAAAACTCAGTGGGTGAGATGTTCCTCCATTTTAATAAACACGAGGACGGATATTTATTAGAATTTAAGCATAAATGCAACCTTTCTGCTGCTGTAAATACTCACTTGAGAACCAAATGTGTATGAATCAGTCACAGACACTGAAAATAGACCCCACTGACTACATCTCTGTGATAGAGGCTTTATTTGATTGACCTTTGCCAAAAATGAAAATGCCCTACTCTTTACAGCACATTTAGCCTTGGTTTAATTGTTGCTGTTTTTTCTTTTTTTTTACAAATTAAAGTATGTGTTATATGTAAGCAACATACAGCGCATTTGTACTTAAATATATATTTGAGACCTTCTAAAAAAACAGGTCTTTAGATAGAATGAATGGACTTTGAGCTGAGTACCATGAAGACAAACCACCTCCTCACTCTCTCATATGGAACGTATGAGATTCCTGCTGCTTATTCATGGAATTTATTTAAAATAATAAAAATACAGAGGTAAAAATAGAACATTCTGAAGACATCAACCTGCATTTCATTGGTATGTTTGGTTTTTAATGTCTCAGAATACTTAGAATATGTACTTATGGCTGTAAGTACTGTTTGATATAGAGGTAATGAATAAGCTCTGGTTTGTTGCTTTCTCTCAGTCTCTTTCTGTTTTCAATTGTTTTATTTTTTTAATGTTTATCCGACAGTAAGCTGCTGTAGATATTTCCAAAGTCGTAGGTGGGCCTCCCTAAGTGAGCTCCAAGCAGTTTCAGGGAAGACTCATTAAATGGAGGTGAAAAATGTTACCTTTGTTATTACATTAGTTATCAAAAGGAGATCAAAAAAATTGGCTAAATATTTTATTAAAGAGATGGTTCAGAGGTGCAGCAGATACCGTTTCTCCACTTTCCCAGAGTCAAAATCTAATAAATGCCACAGGGCAGACCTTTTTAAAAGTTTTTTATGTAGTCGAAAGTTTATGTGAATCAGCACTATTAGGCTACCATGGCTCTGTTTCTGGGAGCCGGTGGGATAAAATAACATAATCATGATCCCACAGGCTGTGAGGAATTGAGCAAAACTAAGCCAATAAACTAACGGGGGGGCGGGGGGACTTTTTTTTTTGTAGGCTTTTGTCTGAGGGGAGCAGTCTCACATTTAGCAAACCCCTGAGCTATTTCACTGTGCTCCGAAGGATGGTGTTACCACCTTAAAAGCTAAGGATGGGACAGGAGCAGCAGAAGTGGAAAAAGTGCCAGAAATGTGCTCCGCAGGCATAAACTAGTTCCACCAATTCGTCACGAATCTTAAAAAAAAATATCTCCCTCTCTAAGGCCTGTAATAACAGTGCCTCTCGCGCCACATCTCAACTGCCTACTAAGCTATTTATGGAAGCAATAATCTTTACAGCAGTCAGTTAGTGGTTATAGGAGAGTAAAAACTGTTCTTTAATTTAATTGGCTATAAACAACCAAATTACCTGAGTAGCTGTAGCCGGAGTAGGCCTCGTGGCCAATGGGAACATAAGGGGAACATCTGAGTGGCTGAACGTAGCTGTCGCTGGGGAGAGACAGCATGCGTCCCATGCTCAGCAGGTTGCCATGGGAACACTCCTCATCCTCAACTTGCACCTGCCGCATGAGATCATCACCATTATTGTTACCGTCAAATCCACTCCCTTCCCCTCCACACATGCAGGAACATGAGCACACTGCGTCTGCTACCTGGGCAGGTGTGTCCGCATTCAGCTCCAGGTCTCCGCCCATAGATGCGGTACTGAGGCGTCTGTTGGCCTCCTCCCTCTCCCTCCTCTCCTCCCTCTCTCTCATCTCCTCCCTCTCCCTCCTCTCCTCCATCTCCTCCAGCTGTGCCTCCTTGTTGCTCTCCTCCAGGTGCTTCATCAGAACGGCCACCACCACGTTGACCAGCACAAACTGTGCCGTCAGGACGAAGGTGACGAAGTAAACGGGGGAGATGAAGGGCAGGTAGGTGAGGCAGTGGCGATCCTGCGGCCGACACTCTCGCAGTGTGTCCTGGACAGTGAGGGCAAGAGGAGAGGATATAGATAATGAAGCAATGAGGAAAACCGAGATCAGATAAAGGGATTAAGGTGATCTATTCATGCTGTACTTCCTTCCTCCTCCAACAGGGGGAGATGTTGATCTGAGCGTGAAAAGACCTTGAGCCTGTCACTAAAGAGTAATACACTCTCCTAACCCTCTCATGTCAGCAGCTCTTAGTCTGTCATAAAAACAGTGATCTGCTCTCTGCCTAATGCAGCGCCTGTCTCATAACCAGTGCTTTGAGACACACATATGTGCACAGACACAAACATTCACTCTGTCATCTATCCATCTTCTTAAAAACTCCCAGACAGCAGAGGAGAGAAAGGAGAAATAACCTTCATAATCCCATTCCAGTTGTCCCCGGTGGACACCCTGAAGAGCGTGAGGAAAGCCATGCCAAAGTTGTCAAAGGTAGCGTGGCGACTAAGACCCTCACATGGGTTCTCGTCTGAACACTCTGAAAGAGGATCAAAAGAGCATTAGAGGTAGTAAGTGTGGGAGAGGAAGGCAAAGGGAGGGGTGAGAAGAAAGAGAATTGTGTGTAGATTAGAGCACTGATTAGAACACTGATTCCAAATTGACATAATTAATGTATGTAACTCAACAAAATTTATTCTGGTTACGTAATCCACACATATCTCAGCGGTGTCAGCTGAGGCACACGTAGACATCAGCACCGATTTATATGCATGCACACACTCATGTGCTCGCTCGCTCGCGCACACACTCTCGCCCATGCATACACGTACACGCACACACACACTAACCCAGTTTTCCAAAGAGCTCAACTCCCAGAGCTGCATAGATGAAGAACAGCAACATGAAGAGCAGACCCAGATTCCCCACCTAGACAGACACATTACACGCACACACACAGATATATACAGTGTATGATACACAGAAAAATAGACATGTACAGTATACATCGAGAGAGACGCGAACATGCAAACAGATAGAAGGAGCCCATCGACAGAGACCGCTAAGCCTTACTGCACTGATGTTCACTACTTCTTACAAACTAACAGGAGCCATCGTGTCACCTGGAGTAGAACGATACCTCAGATTTTAGTTTGACAAACAGAGATGCACTTTCATAGTGTGGATCCAGCCCTGATGAATCACAAACGCGCTTGTTTTATTCTACTTACAAGGCCATTCACCGAGTCTTGGCTCGCCTTCCATCGTGGTAGGAGGTGTGAAGATGTCTAATTAGACGAACGATACACCTATTGATGGAGCGTACGGGAGAAAAGCACTCGGAGGCCACAGCACAGACCTGGGTTTGATCCCTGACAGTGATGTGTCACTTCAAAGACTACTTGGTGGGCGGGCAGGCAGTGAAGGATAATGGGTATTTTTCTGCAGCACAGATTCCCACTGTTTTGCTGGAATACCTGCGTAGAGAAATATGGGATCTTGAAGGAGTAGTGTGAAGCTTGCTAGCTGAAGGTCAAAAGTAGAACCACTCCTCAAACAATTATAAATGTCTGTTTGCTGTGCATACCTGCTAGCTCTTGTTTAACGTGCTGCCCTCCCCCCTCTCTCTCTCATTTCTTGTAGGGTGCCCCTGTGGAGCTGCACCACGTCCTCCCCACAACCCTTCCCGGAGCCATCATCCTTGTCTGCCATTCTCATTAGCCAATCACTATTCATACTTTTCATATTTAAATAAGACAGACCACTGCCATGCTCTGTGAGGCTGTGGAGTGCTTTGACTTAAAGTCCCTCTCACGTCCTTGATTAAACCCTGAAAAATTCGTCTCCATGTATCAAAATTACATATTTATAAGTTTTCTCCATTAAAATGATCCCTTACTGCCTTAAAATCTCTTAGATGTAACTCTAACTCATTGCCTCTTCCAGCTCACCTAAGACTCTGCACAAACACTCTAAAGCTATTTTATGTTGCACAGAGGCAAGTTGCAATATTGGACTAATTCAGCCACACATGTTTGAAACCCAAAACGGATTCTGAAGAACAAGGAGACAGAATCCTGCAAGCTAACAAGATTGTCTGTGAAGACTGTCAGTCATCCAGTTCATGGTTATTCTCGTAGATTAATTGTAACAACTGGGTTTGCTTGAGTTCCTTGAGGATATTTCACCTCTCATCCAAGAGGCTTCATCAGTTCTGACTGACTAGTTGGGAGTTCCAGATATTTATATCCTTAAGGAGTCATTAACACCTGAGTTTTGGTTTCAACTGGGGGTTTGTTGCTCCTCCCCCTGCCACAGTGGGGTTCGTTAAGGTCTTTTGTGGCTAAGTGTGAATGTGGTTTCATCTTCCTGGGGAGAGTTCTGAGGACTGAGTTGTAAACAGGTGAGAGGTGATGCCTCAGACCTCCACCTCTGTTGAGTGATGGTCTTTCCAGTTTGACATAGAGGGGGAGTATAAACGACTCGCATAACGAGGGGGAGGAGCAACAAACCCCCAATTGAAACCAAGACTCAGGTGTTAATGGCTCCTTAAGGATATAAGTATCTGGAACTCCCAACTAGTCAGTCAGAACTGATGGATGATGATCTTGGATGAGAGGTGAAACGTCCTCAAGTAACTCCAGCAAGTCCAGTTGCTACGATTAAACTATGAGAATATTACAGCAATCCATTTAATATTTCAATCAGAACTACAAACATCAAGCCTCACTGTGGCAGTACAGGAAAAGTGAGAAGAGAAACTAAATTTTTTAGGATTCATCCTCTGAGCATCATGAATGTAAAATTTTATGACAATCAATCCAAAAGCTGCTGAGATATTTCACTCTGAACCAAAGTGGTGAACTACGGCACTAATGTTTTACAGAGTCGGGAACATTTGCATCTCACTTGATGTTTTAGTCCTTGCTTGTGAATGTCATGGTCAGACGGACACCAGCATGATGTCATCAAGGGCTCCACAAAAAAAACAACTCTGTCCGTTCAAAATTTGAATCAGACCTCATGAAACAATTTTTCAGTGTATCATCTAGAAACATACTGCCCTGGCCTGGCCAGTCACAGACGCGCAACTGACTGTACCTGGTACAATATTTGGTTGTGTGCAGCTTGCAGCATTCTGATAAAATACTCAGAGTTCCACAATCCGGCCTCAAAGGAGAATAAATCGCTCTTTGGTGTCTTTGTGTATGATAAGCTGGCAGATTGAACATTCTGGGTCATATTTTATCTTCTCACAGATACCCAGCAGCAGAACAATCGCACCAGAGCAGCTATGAAGTTATGTGCCATAAAGTTATCATTTAACTAGTGATTTATCTGCTACTCTGATAAGTTTAAGGATCAGCAATTAGCCTTTAGCTAAATACTGGAATGTCTTCATGCTTGTTTAGCGATCATTTTGGAGTATCTGGTTTAGTACCACCCAGTTGGGGGAAATCAGTGATGCTAGTAAATCATATAGGAGGAATTCGGTGCCAGGAGTCGTAAATGACGAAATAAAACAAGCTGTCTACATTTCATCAGATCTGGACACCAGACTGGCAGTTAAAAAGACATCTTTTATTTTACAGCAGGGCGGCGGCCTCTTACCTGAGGCAGCGCTTGCATCACTGTGTCCAGCAGAGCTCTCATCCCTGTAGCCATCTTCAGCAGCTTCAGCACTGAAACATTGTTAATGTGTCAGCTCCTATCAGGCACATATCGTCGTGTTTGTGTGGTTGCGTCACTGCGTGTGTGTACCTCGTGTTATCCTCAGGGTCCTCATGATGCGTATGATGGTGGGGTTGATAGGCAGGGAAGCACTCAGGTCTATTTCCTCCAGGGTAATTCCCATGATGGACAGCAGCACAATGGCCAGGTCCAGCTGGTTCCATCTTGACACACACAAGCAGTTTCAGTTTCTGCGTAAAGCTGTGTGCTTGTCACAGTCTTTGTGTTCATGTGAGCGCATGATTACCTCTCTTTGAAAAAGCGGCGCAGGCCAAAAGCGATGAGTTTGAGAATGGCCTCGATGACAAAAACCACCGTGAAGACGTAATTGCAGTACTTCAGAATCTCCTCGAGGTACTGCAGGACACACAGACACACTTCAAAAAGCCACTGTGGCTGCACTGTACCACCGCATACCGCTTCATTACTATGGTTCTAGGACAGGTGGAAGAAGGAGTTGCCATGGTTACCTGAGGCTGGTTGTAGTGCTCCATGCTCATGGTGAGGAGGTTTGTGAAGATGATGATGGTGATGAAGAGGTCCATGTAGTGGCTGGTGCACACGGTGTGGATGGATCGACGCAGTGGGGAGTAGTCAGCGTAATATGGCTTTTCCAGGGCCCCTGTGTCGCACAAAACACGCACACACACACACACACACACGGTCATTAAAATGCTTCTGAAAGAAAAATATGATAAGGGCTATGAAGTCACTGATGAAGTAGGTGCCAAGTGGCACTCTGCTGTGTGTGTGTGTGTGTGTGTGTGTGTGTGTGTGTGTGTGTGTGTGTTTGTGTGTGTGTGAAGACTAAAAGTGCCACCTCAGGAATTCAATCCTATCTATCACACACACACACACCCACACACACACCTCTACACACACACACACACACACAGACACACACACAGACACACACACAGACACACACACACACACACACACTCTATGGCACCTCAAGGTGTCTTTGGGCAGAAACCCTCGCTGTCTGCTGCCCGACAGTTAACGGACTTGGAGAAAAGCACTACTAAAGATTACACTGCAGCGAGAGACAGAAGGACGGAAAGAGACAGAACTGAGGTAGATGAAGAGAGAGAGCGAAAACAACAGTGTGTGCAGTTGTGTTGAGTGTGAATCTGTGCACAATATAGGTAGAAATTATGCATGTGCTCATACAGTATATATATGAAACAAGAGGCGTTGCATGTGCAAGTGTAATATTACATCTGCACTGTGTGTATCTGTCCTGTGTATATGAATGTTTGCACGGTTTGGATCAGGCCTCTTTGTTCAGATGAAGGGAAATCTTCGTCCTCCAGAATCAATATTTCTGACAACCATGTGAATCAACTTTGGAGCCGCAGTTGCAACATAATGATAGCCCATCGCACAAAACCAGCCCTAGAAAAGAAATGACTTTCTGAGTTTGGTTGGAAGAACTTAACTGTCCTGCGTTTGACCTCAACTCCATCCAGTACCTAAAACTGCGTGCTGGGCCCCAACATCCAACATCTGCACCAGAGTTTTTCAGTCTGTACATCTGTAGCCATAAATCCAGTAATGCTCAAAGTAGTTAGGCTGCCATGTTTTCTTTATTCCCTTTTCTCAATTAGTTCATATTAGTAGAAGGAAACCCGGACCATTCCCTCTTCTGCATCTGTCTTCAAAGGAGAGCTGACGTAAACAAACTAAAAAAAATAGTTTTGTGGAGTTGAATGACTAATAAAGGGCAGCCGTGGCTCAGGTGGTAGAGAAAGTTGGTGTTTCTATCCTCAGCTTCTCCATGTGCTGAAATGTCCCTGGGTAACACAGTGAGCGCCAAGCTACCTGCTGGCAGGTGAGCGCCTTGCATGGCAGCTCTGCAACTATTAGTGTGTCAATGTGTGAATGAGAAACACTTTGTAAAGCGCTTTGCACAACCTTGATACAGGTAAAAGGCACTGTATAAGTGCAACGTTGGGCTTTATGCATTCAATGCAGCTCTGCTGCTGGTGTTAGAGGGAGCTGCCCACAAATTGCTTTGTTGGTGGTTTGATCCCAGTCAACAAAACATGCTTTTTGAATTACAAAGGTAAAAAAAAAAAGTCTTTAACTGACTTTAAGTGCAGATCATTTACCATGTGCACTGCTGCAACACAATCAGACCCGATAAGACAGCAGAGCAGAGAAATAGAGTGAAAAAAAAAAACAGCAATTCAGCCAAAGTGCTTTCCAAAAGAAAAATACGATTGGTGTTGCGAATTTACCAAACAAGTATATTTATGAAGTGAAGTCACCTGAGTTATTTTAATATTACGCTTGAAACCCTACAAAATTATCTAAAAGATGAAATTTACCTCTAACTCTAAAGTATTATTATTTACGGAAACTTACCAGATAAATTTAAAGCTAAAGTTAAAACCCTACAAAACTATACATGGAAAACTTAACAAATCCAGTTGTCACTGTTTGATGTAAACCAGTTTGAATAGAAAGACATCATCTAGTACATTACTATTGTGGTGGAAAGGAAGCAAATATCTGCAGCAAGGCTCCAGTTTCTCGTAAAAAACCTAGAAGAGCGCAGGCGGTTCTAGCAGCACATTATTACAAGTGGTTTTGGCATGACAGGCTCAGTGAATATGTATGGGTGTAATGTTTTATAAACTGTAAGTCTTTCATGCCCCTCCACACGCCTCCCCCCTTCCTCTAATGCTTTCTCACTTCTCCTCCTCTTCTCCAGTCGTTTCTGTCGTTTCTCCTCCCTCAGCCGGGCCTCCTCCTCCTCTTGCTGCTGGCGACACTTGTGAAAGTTTTCCACCACCACGCCCACAAACATGTTGAGCACAAAGAAGCTGACGATGAGGAGGAAGGAGATGAAGAAGAGCAGCATCCAAGGATTGTGGTTTCTTATTGGCTGCAGTAAGAGACGGAGAGAGGAAATGCAGGAAGAGAGGAGGGGAGGTAGCATGAGGATAAAAAGGCGAAATAGGAGGATCAAACAGTGACGAAAGAGGGTGAGGCGGGGCGGAGAGGAAGAAAAGGAGAGAGGCACAAACAAGAGGACAATGTGAGTCCTGAGTCAGCAGCGAAACTGCCAGCACTGTCAACTCACATCTATTTATCCATCTGACTTTTTTCTTCCCTTACACCTCCTCACCTCTCTGTTGAAATATTTCCCCTTTCGCACTCAAACAAACAAGATCAAATGTGCTCGAGACTGACACAAAACAGACCGAAAACGCGAGGAAATACAATAAACACTCGCTGACTGGTTCATACGTCTCCCTGATATTCAGTCTTGGCTTTTCACATCCTGTTTCTTCCCCCCCATGTGTGAGTGAGTGTCTCTTCACCTGCTGGTCCACTCCGACGGCATCCAGGCCGTCATACATGATGCTGACCCAGCCGTCTTTACATGACAGCACAAAGAGTGACATCAGCGCCTGCAACAGTGAGACGCATATAAATCAGCACTGTGCTCTCAATCAGCTTGTTAGGTGTCAGCCTGAGATGTGTGGGATTGTGACAAACCTGTCCCAGGTTGTCAAAGTTGTATTTCCGTCGAACCCAGCGGTAGCCCGCCTGCAGACACTGGGTCCTATTGGTGATGTAACTCACATTAAGGCCGTCGCAATAGAAGAATTTCCCTTTAAAGAGCTGCACACACAGAGACAGATGGGTGCACATAGTTAAAAACAGAGAGGAACAGTGTAACCTCCAGGTAATGTAAAGAAAGCTTCAAAAAATGGTTATATTGGCGTACAGTAAATTACTCAGCAAGTGCCTACGGGGTTTCTGCTCTTATGCTGCAGCTAAGATACAAAAAATTGGTCTATTCTGTCTTATAGTCATTACAAACACTGAAATACTTGAGCCTGGAGTGTTCTCATTAGAGGCTAATGCGGTGTGCTCTTCAGAAATACATGCCTGTGTGTCAACGTTAGCTTCAGCATTCATCAAGCATCATTTCCTGTGCAAGCACTAAATCTGAATATTTGTAGGAAGATTTGCAAAAAATCAAAACTAGCAGAAAGCGGGAGGGTGGGGGGGGATCTCTCCAAACTGACTTTTAGCAGGGAAATGCTGCTCAAATAAATATTACAAATGGTGTTGTACCTAGTTGTACCCAAACTTATTGGACTGTGACGCCTTAAAATGAAGATTTATATGCCACCATTGCATGTCATTAACTTTGTGTCTGTGTCCTCTCTGCAAGTATTTCTGGCTCTGGAGCCGCATGTTTCTGATCTGCAGCTAATGGCCTCACCAACCTGCTCAGTGTTTATTGTTCTTTTGTTTGTTGTCTGTTTCTCCACTATCCTTCCCTCCCTCTCCTCACCCCAACTGGTCGAGGCAGATGGCCGCCCTCCCTGCTTCTGCCGGAGGTTTCTTCTGTTAAAAGGGAGTTGTTTTTTTTCTTCCCACTGTTGCCAAACAGTTTGCTCAAAGGGAATCGTTGGATTTGTTCGGTTTCTCTCTATAATATAATATTGTACAGTCTTGACCTCGCTATGTGAAGTGCCATGAGATGACATATGTTGTGTCTTGGCGCTATATAAATAAAAATGTAAATTGAATTGAAGTGGATGTGAGACGTCAGCGCTTCAAGCACAAGAGCAGTTTTTGCCATTCAGATTATTTGCTTTACAGGATTTCAATGCCTGAAGAAATTAAATAATCATTACTTGTCAAAAGTAGTGACAAAGTAAGCATTAGTCTCTGTTAGAGAAATGTTTTTTTTCCTTTCCTGTACCTTTAATGATTTGGGCTTCTCAGATTTATGTATGGGCTCCGTGAAGGGTCCTTGAAGTCTCTGCTGTTTAATAACATGATTATCTTGTATGTCATATTTTAGCTTATTGGTTTGAATAATTAAAAAAAAACTTTAATAAATAATAAATTGTATTCATTAAGTGAATTAATAATATAAAAATCCAGGTGAAAATCCGATTTAAAAAAAAAACACATTCTCAGCACAATCCCTCCGTAGAACCATTGTTTTTTTAATTACTTCCAGGGACTCTGGTGCATAATCAGCAGCTCATTTGCATTTCCTCCGAATTTTTCTCCACTTTTTATTACCTGAAGCCTTTTCTGAGCTGTGCCTCGTTTATTTTAAACCACTATGACTTCTTGCAGCAGGAAACACAGCGGGCTTTGGATGTTTGGGCACAAAAGATTGGGTGAAAATGAGTGCGTATTTTCGATGAGAAGCAGGAAGAAAAAATAATAAAATGATGAGGCTTTTCTCCAGCTAGGAGAGGATGAGAAGGGAATACAAATGTTTACCTGGACTCCCAGAATTCCAAACACGATGAAAAAAGCACAGCAGATGAGAACAATATTCCCAATGGGTCTGAGCGATGTGATCAGAGTCTCGACCACCAGTTTTAGACCTGGAGCCCGACTTATCACCCTGCGGCACACGGACACAGTCACACACAGGCAAAACAAGTTCTCCGGGTAATATTAAAGGAATAAAAACACGAGAATTAAATCTCCGGCACTCCTACCTGAGCGGCCGCAGCGTGCGAAGCAGCCGAAGGACCCGGAGGATGCCGAAGATTCGATTACCACCCGCTGATGCCAGGGAGACCAGGATGTCCACCAGCGACACAAACACCAGCAGTCCGTCCAAGACGTTCCAGCTGCTCTGCAGGTACACACCGTTTCCAAAGTACAGGCCCATAGCTACCACCTTATCACACACAGGCATGCAGACACACACACAGACCCAGCAAAATTACTGAAATAATAAAATAATACGGGATGTAAAATGAGACTGAAAGCCATTCTGATGCCCACCCAGGAAGAAAATTGCCTCTTTATAAGTAAGATGAGAAAATGACTTTGGAGTGAAGTGCTCATTCAGAGGACGTGTCGTGTTATGGTTACCTTGATCATCATTTCGCCCACGAAGATCACAGTGAAGATGTAATTGGACACACTGAGAAAAATCCGTTCCTGTTACACACACACACACACATACATGTTAGCATGTGAGACAAACACAGAGAAGCACATTCATTCATTTAAAACCCACTTTCCAGGCATTGATTAAACCCTTAAAAACTCCCGTGCATCAAGGTTACGCTTGTTTTTTTGGGGGGATTTCGCCTTTATTTTAGAGCAGTAGAGATAGACAGGAAAGGATGGAGAAGAATGGGGAGAGACCTGCAGCAAAGGGTCATAAGCGGGAGTCGAACCCACGACCGCTGCATCGGGGACTGTAGCCCCTGTTCATGGGTCGCCTGCTCAGCTAGGTGAGCTATAGGGGCACCCAAGGTCACACATTTTAAAGTTTTTGCCATTAAAACAATCTTTTTCTGACTTAAAATGGTTTAAATGTAACTCTACACTGTTGCTTCTTTGCTGCTGCTCGAACACACCAGCTCACCTACAACACTGTAAACCTCCTCTCGGCTATAATGACAAAATTGGAGTAATTCAGCCATATTTGAAGTCTGAATCCATGTTTTTAAGGTGGACTCTGTACACTTAAATTTCAGGGTGGATATACTCAGCTATGGTGTTGACATCTTATTTTGCTCAAGATGTAAATGGTCTGCACTTATATAGCCAAAGCCCTTTACAGTGTGTTTCTCATTCACACACACATTCATACACCAGTGGTGACAGAGCTGCCATGCAAGGTGCTGCTGGCCATTGGGAACAACTTCGGGTTCAGTGTCTTGCCCAAGGACACTTCGACTGTGAGGCGGGGGGGACTGAACCGCCAACCTTGCGATTGGAGGACAACCCAGTCTAGCACCTGCTGAGCCACAGCCGCCCATAAGATGTGGCTTCTAGTGTATATATATATATATATATATATATATGTATAAAACACCATATGGATATGTTGGCAAACTTGATTTGAACCGAAGGGGAGTCTTTAAGGATTGTGTGTCCAAGCAGCTTTTGCTTTGATTATGGAGTGTGAATGTGCAATAAAATGAGTGGGAAAAATCCATTTCGTAAAACATACTGGTAACAGCAGATGTTCTTATGGTGCCTCCCAAACTGCTCTTGTATCAGCCACAAGCTTTTGAAATGGAGTTAACAGCCTGCATGTGTGACAGAGAGAGATCTAGTGCTTCCATATTTGTGAGGACTGACTCTTCTTACTGCTTAAAAGAGCTGCTTAAGGTTCAGTCTAGATGGCAGGGATAGTATGATTTATCTTCAGTTGATTTGTGTAGAACTGATCAAACACAGTGCTTTACATAACAAATAAAAAAAAGATTAAAACAGCATTTTAATACACAATTAAAACAGAAATTATATCAGGAAAATAGAATTAGGTATTCAACACGACGAATACTGTTCCAAAATTACAACCACTAAGAGTTTAGGTTACAGGCAGGTTTGGTGTGTTGCTATGATGATGCTGGGGAATGCAAAATGTTAAAAGGGGTCCTCACAAGTATAGCGTGAATGTGTTTGTGTATTACCATGCTGTGAGGCTGAATGTCAGGTCTCTCCAGCGCGATGGTGATGCAGTTGAGAAAGATGAAAAGGAGGACGACGTGATCAAACATCTTGTGACCTATGACCCTCTGACACCACAACCTGAACCTGAAGAGACACAACAAGAAGGACAGAGCATCAGCACCTTCTCCTCTATCTTCTATGTACAGATAAATACATATGTATGTGTGTGTGTGTGTGTGTGTGTATATACAGTCGTCCTCAAATGTATTCATACCCTTCTATTAAAGAAAAGGCAAAATTCTCAACAGTCAGTCAAACAACTAGAAACTGAAAAAAGTAATAATAAATAAAAAATTGCTAAATTATAATTTAATGAAATAAGACATTGCTTTTGAATTGTGGTTGAAAAGAATAATTATTAAATAAAACAAACAAAACTGTCCTGGACAAATGAGAGCACTTTGCTGATGAACAGTGGACCAAAATCCAAACACCTGTCAACAGGTGCAGAAGTCTGATTGAGAGTTACAGAAAACACTTGATTGCAGTGATTGGCTCAAAGGGTTGTTCAACAAAATATTAGTTTACAGGTCCCATTATGCAGGTTTGCTTGTTTTTTAAAATTAATTATATTTCTGTTGAACCACAATTCAAAAGCAACGTCATGATTTTCATAAAATTTTTATTTATTACTTTTGTCAATTTCAACTGATTTCAGTGACAGCTGTTATTTTCCTCTTTAATGGGAGGGTATGAATACATCTGAGGACGACTGTACATACAAACATACATATATAAACACATCACACCACCTGAATCACTGCACTCGTGCACATAATGTGTGTGTTTTCACTTGCCCAGGTTTAATTGATAAAAGTGAAAATTGCATTACTAAGCTGTAGCTGTAAACTTCACACTTTAACTGTGAATTTTCACACATGCTGTGGTTTAAGCCACCTAGGCCACTCGGGAAAATATCGGGGGCTGTGTATGTCTGTGTATGTTTGTGTGTGTGTGTTTACCGGTTGTGTGGGGAGAACAGATAGAGGGACCACTCTTCATGCTCCAGGCACCACTGAGGCTCATACGGCTCCAGAATCTTCTTCAGCTTCTTACATAAACTCTGGGACGAACACACACACACAAACAAACATCTGCGAGTGAAAAAAAACACACTTGCACGCTTGAATACACAATTACAGGAATTTTGGATGTTGTTGGTTATTTCCTATATCATATTCTACACTCATTTAACAACCAAAATCATGCAGTACTCATGTTCTTAAAATTCAGAATAAAATAATTACATCTAAAGTGTGTTTTGCCCGCGACCTCGCCGTTTTATCAGCACAACATGAGGCACATCACGGCTCAGGTTTTTCCTAACAATGCTCACAGTGTTACCTCCACTCTGTTCATAATTTGAATTCAGTTAATTAGATATTTTCAAAGTTGCATAAGTGTGTAAGGTCACGAAGGTTGGAATTCATGCCTTTGCAAGATAATTAGCAGCAGCTTTTTGAACTTTTGAACATGCCTAAACAAGCTCTTTTATGAACTTGTTTTATCTAGAAGTAACAAAAACACGACATCATTAGGATGCTTTTTCCAAGTGACTTCAACATGAACCACGCGATGAGCAAAACAAATAAATGCCTACCTCCTCAAACACCTCCTCTTCCTGATCACTTGGGTAATGTGACGTCAGGGGGGCGTCGTCGTAGCCGTGCTCCGGGAGGTGGAAGGTGGTGCCGTTGCAGTCGGGCGAGTGCAGTATGGGCACCTGCAGGTACTCTGACTGGTCCAGAGACTGCTCCCTGCTGCTGGGGTTGGAGCTGGTGTGCGTGTCGGAGAGCAGGGACTCCATCTCCCCTGACTGGCTCTTCCTGTGGAGGCTGGGGGCTCGGCCGATGCTGGTCCAGCTGGAGCGACGGCTCTCTGGCCCGCCGTCCCACAGAGACTGTGAAGACAACTTCGAACAACAGTAACGCCTCGTTGGATTTCTGACAGATCTTTCGACTGCAAATAAAGATTTCATTCTTGGCAGATTAAAGGCACCCTGTGGAGCTTTTTTGGCAAGTAACGGTGCAGCTGAGAAATGCTTCGTGACTTCCCATTTTCTTTGTATCTTCTGCTCTACCAACCCATATGTTAAGACAATAGTAGCTGATAGTAAGTATTAGACACAGTGACACACAAACCTGAGGTAAAAGACAGTGAATAGAGGGAACACTGACAACCTCTGGTGTCCATGTGGAAAACAAACCACTTTGGTACCAAGACATGGTTGTTCTACCAACATTCTAAGGCTGTGTCCGAAATCACCCACTATACCCTCTATACAGTGCACTGTACAGGGCGTTTGCCATTTTGTAGTGCTGTCCGAATGTTACAGATGTTACACCCTATATAGTGCACTCAAAATATCCCACAATGCACCGTGAAAAGTAGTGTACAGCTGATGGTCACTAATCAAGCAATATGGACCATCATGCATTGCGTGAAAGGAAACGCAAACTAGACGAACGAGAGCGCGAAAACTTGTTCCTGTTTATGTTTTGTCAAATTTTATATTCTCCCGTTTCTTAGCAACGCAATAAACTGTGAATTTGATGTGCTTGCACTACGCTGCTACGGCACCAATCACAGCTAGCGAGCGACATAATTAATAGCTTGAGTGGTGTCTGAAATGCTACTTTGGCAAGGTGCTCCTTACATAGTTCACTAGATAGTTTACTGTATAGTGCTCCCTAGATAGTGAGTAGGGAGTGAGTGGATGATTTCGGACACAACCTAAGTCATCTTACCAATTAAACAAAATGGCGTTTACCTGTAAGCTCAGCCTATAAGACTATAGGACTCAACTGATCATCAGCTGGTGGTTGTAACGTGCCAGCAAAAGGCTCCGTAGCTAGAGAACTGCCAGCCAAAGCAACGACGGTTCCAAAATATTTGACTTTGCTAGTGTTTTATGAGGATGGAAATGCATTCAAGCCATTCGTTACCTTTTGGGAATACACTTGCTACAGTAGGCTCGCTGGCAAACACTGAGACTTAACAAATATAAGTCTGCAAGGTACCTTTAATGGAAGGTCATTGGAATGTTTTTTCTTTCATCTGGATAATGCAGTTCTCTGTTGGTACTCCTGGGGTTTAACTTGTGCAAAACAATCATAAAATCCCAGTTGTAGAAATTGATTAGCGTGGCCTGGATTCATTTCCTTTTCATAACATTCTCCGCAAATCACCTTAGTTCCTGACAGTTAATGTAGTAATAATATATGCAAAAGTTTGTGCCCGAGGCTCACCGGCGACCTCTGCTCAAGGCTGTGGACGTCCATGGAAGCAGCACTCGCCCGACGCGACTGGCTGGAGTTTATGGTGGGCGTAGCTGCGGTGTGTGTGATGACCGGCAGAGGTGGAGGTGGAGGGTGAGGCATGGAGGCTTTGGGGTTCAAGAGACCGTTGGGGCTCAACATCATGGCCTGGATTTTAAGCTCTGAACACATACAGAGAGAGAGAGAGAGAGAGAGAGAACATCATTCCTGTTTAGTAAAATTTGTGCTTTACAGTATTTCTGCTTGAATTGGCTTTGATCAGGGCTGTACGGAGGTTGTGTCCGCAGGCATTGTTTGTTCTGGGAATTTGCAGTTTACACGACTTAAAGACACACATTGTAAAAATGTAAAATTGAGATATGAAATTTTTTGAGACTCATTTGAATAAATATCGATAATTTATAAGCAACAAAAAAAAAAGCAAAATACAAGAATAAATGAGCAAGTTTAACAAATAACAGTATTTATGGCATTCTGGCAGAATAGAAAACAACCTTAGAAAACAGCCTTTAGATCTCCATATAGAGAAGCTCTGGCATGTGTAGCGATTTCAAAGTCCCTCTCCAGGCACTGAACAAACCCCCAAACACTCATCTCTGTGTATCAAAGCTACTTTTTTTTTTTTTAACATAGTTTTCCCATGAAAATGATCTCTTTTTGCTTTAAAAATGCCTTCGACGTAACTCTGCATCATCGCCACCTTCAGAATGTGCAGTTCTACAAAGGCCTTTCTTCTTTCCACACCTCCAGCGCTCACTGCAACTCAGCACACCAGCTCACCTTTGACGGCTGAAACACTAGTAAACCGGTCTTGGCTACACAATGGCAAGTTGTAATATTGTAATAATGCAGCCACACATGCTCAAACCAGAAAGTGATTCTGAAAAAAGAATAATGATGCAGAAAGTTCCACCCTGCACGTTGTTGCAAATAAAACCCCGGAAGTCTGAATTCATGTTTTTGAGACTGTCATAAGTAAACTGAAGTTTTGATGTAGAAATGCTCAGCCTTGATGTTGACAGCTTATTTTGAGTATGGCTTGTTTTCCAGTC